TTGGTATTGCGAGCAGTCAAAACTCGCATTCAGAGGTATTATCTCAAAAGGTTGATTGATTCATATGTGGGGTGTAACGTCCCAAAACCACCATATTATTAGGAAAGACTCCGTAGGGAAGTGCTCCGTAGGGAAGTGCACCTGGCGTGCTTTAACGTGCACCCAAATCTGAGTACATGGGCCTACAGCAGTTTCGCCTCCATCGAAAATGCAGCCGCCGCAGCCGGGGTTTGATCCCGCGACCTGCGGGTCAGCGGCCGAGTACCTTAGCCATACTAGAACAACGCGGTGGGGTTATTTGAAAGGGGGCAAGGAAAAGCAGCAGTTACGTAAGATATCGGTGTTAAAAGGAAAATAAAGTCAAATAACAATGTACGTGAGAGTAAAGCTCAATGTATCACAACGTTTAATACGACAGTATCATCAACAGCAGTGCCCTACTTGCCAAGAATATAATGTCAGTGCACGAGGACACATGCCGTGGGACATTCGCGTAACTATTCGATTACGTCAGAAAAGAGCCAACAATTATTCGCTAGAAATTGAACCAAATGCATGCACTAAATAAAAAAGCCTTCCGTGCATCAAGAGACATAATGAAATGCTGCTTGTTCGTTTCTGTTTGATTCATAGAAATAAAGAACCGCCGAACGTTGCTATGCGGAATGACGCGACTGGTTGAACAGTTCAATCTTTTCCTACTTAAACTGGACAGGTCGTCGTCATCAAGCGGGGCCAAGTTGAACCAAACACGTCGGCCATGTCAGAGCCAATGGCAGGAAATTCTTCAAAGGCGGCTGTTGCCGCTGTGGCTCCCGCTGCTTTCGTGCTGCTGCTACAGTGTCGCTCTTTCAGTTTCGTACCGACCGGTTGTTCCCCCGTGATCTCCGACGACAGCGGAGCTCTGGCCGTCTGGGCTCGCCCTACGCCATCTCCTTACGCTGACAAGATCTCTCACCGAGTGGTGCCCCGTCCTCAACCTCCCGCGACCGTGTCCATCTTTCCTATCTCCTCCTTACTTCCGTCGTTTTCGGCCGTTCGCTGTCCATGCGCCTCTCTCTCCCCTTCCTCTGTCTATCTGTTCACCTTTAATCCTTCTCTTTAATCCCTCCTTTACCCCCACCCCTTGTGAGCTACTGTTCAGGTGTCCTCCCCCTGAGAGACAGTTACGAAGCTCACTTTTTCTCTTTCATTTAAAATCTATCACAAGGCGGCCGCACTAGTAAATGCGGGCGACGGTGTGCACGGCAACAGTGACGCGAGATGTTCTGTTTGAGGCGGGAAATTTGAAGTGCACTAACCTATGCGGACTACTAAAACGTGACTTTATTTGAAAATAAGCGATTCCTTGGCAAAAAGTAATACTACAAGGTTTCTGGACCATTATTTCAACAATGAACGTTGACCTAATAGTTGCATTTAGTGTTCCTTTAAAGAGCATTCACACCAGAATTCGAGAAAGCCAATTCTAGGCTAACGTTTGGACTCACGAGTCACACTTGGACTCATTCAGACCCAGATTGAGTCATGATTCTGAGCGAGTCTGTGGGGGGAGGGGGGTGAGGCAATGTTTTGGTCAGTTTGAGTACAAATGAATCATCTGGTTCAAAATTTTCATGAATATGAGTTTGTGTGAGGCAGGCTGAGGAAAACTGTGCTGACTCTGAGTCCGTGCGAGCCCTAAGCGCAAAATATATACACGAGTGAATCTGAGTGAGCTCCACAAGTTTTGCCGACCTAGGCTTTATTGCCACGCACAAGGATGGGTTTTGATTCCTGCTGGCACAGTATTCTATCGCAGAGCCCCGCCAGGTCTCAGAACTACTTTTCAAACAGACGCTAAAATGTTCGCGAAACGTCAATTGTGGTTGCTGTGGAGGCTATCCAAATACAGCCGTCATGTCAGGTTAACGTCAACGTAGTTAAGCGCAATCGGCTTAAGCTAATTCGTGTAGCAGTGTACCGAACTAACATCCTCGCCAACACCAGCGCTTCGTATCAGCTTACCGCTTCTGGGGTTGCTAATATCGATGTTGCTGTTGGCATCTTTACGCAACGGTAAATTGGTTATACAAAGATATGCCGCTGTGTAGAGGATAACAATGACGATTTTTCGATTCAATGGATCTCAATAAAATTCACTGGCTACGTTAATTTGCACGTTTGTACCATTCATGCCAAATTGCAAGCATGAGAGTTACGCAGATACTTTTGAAATGAAGTTTAGAGCTTGCCTCAAAACACTCACCTCGCTTGCCAGAAATAACGACAACATTGTGCGCGTGACTGAGTTTTGCCTGGCGGAAATGACAAAACGGATGTGCCATTGCAGCATCTTCTTGTGTGCAATAGATTTTGTGGTTTTGGCATGTGCTTCCTTGGTTGAGTGTGCGATTTCGTCTTCCGTGTTTGTGGACATGCCATAGTTGGAAAGAGGTGTTGTTTTCCGAGCTACACAAGATTCGTCATCTATTCACCAAAACAGCGTATACGTTTTAGCCAATCGTGGCGGAAGGTGTGGACTGGTAGTGCCATCTGGCGGGCATCATTTGAATTCAGTCTGGTTCGGGAAATTGATTACGTCACACGTAGAAGCGCACTCGGTTGGGTTAAGGTTCAGTTTTTCGGTTTTTCGACAATTAATTTTTATTTTCAAACTTGTCGAGCATTTCAGCTATTGGGCGCGTCACACGAGTGTTTCAAAACATAAAAACACTATTATCCTGACATTGTCAGGATAATAGTGTTTCTTCTTTAGCGCCACTTTGTAACGCTTCGCATATTAAAGAAATACAACACATTTGCCTCCCATTCGCATGCTTCGGGTAAAAACGATTTCCGAGGTATGTGGAATTAGGCGAATGGTTTCTTAACATTCTCGTTTTAAAATTACCACTATCAGTTCTTGCCGGATTTTGTATAAACTCTCAATCCCCTGTCACGTGCTAGCCCATGGTATAAGGCTATGTTCCCCACGTGAGACGGCAGAAAGGGTATGGCGACGTGCCCGACGAGGTTTGGACATTATTCGTGTCATATTCGATTAGCGAGTCATATTCGACAAACCATGTTACCCTCACATATTACTTTTAGAGCGAGAGCTGTTGTAAGATCGCAACTGGAATCTGGCGCAGCAACGTAGTTGTCCGCTACTGCCGCTGCCACTGGCTCCGGTGCCCGTAACCAGATCGCGTGACATTAGCTAAAAAATTTAGTATGAATTACACAGTGGGGCTCGAACTTGGGCCGCTGGTGTCCAGCCCAGTATACTACCACTGAGCTACGCCGATGCTTGGGACTTGTTAGCAAACTTGCCTTAGGCATGACGATAGTTATAGCGTGAGAACAGAACGACGACAAAGAGACAAGAAAGACACGAAGGACACGAGCGCTAACTTCCAACTGAGTTTATTGCGCAGAGCGCGAAAACATATAGAGGAGGCAGTAAAGCATGTGACAAAAGCACGAGGCACAAAGAGCAATACATGAAAAAGTAGACACGAAAATGTCGGAATGACCGGTAGCTGTCCGAACGATCGACGGAGAGAACACGGTTACAATTTTAAAAACGGGAAAGACGGTTTTCTTGCTCAGCACTGCACTGAGTGGAACTGTGTGCCCCTATTTAAGGACACAGTGATGCTGTACAAGCAGAGGGCTGAGCACACCCGAGTCATCGTCGAGGCCGCGCAGATGGCACGTGGACAGGTGTCATGCATTAGCAAGCCCTCCGTGTCTCTGTCCGAGAAGGAACTACTTAAGGTTCCTCGAAGGTTTCGGTACGTGCAATTAGTTATATTATTTTTAATTTTCTGTTTCGTTTCCTTATAAAGTTTTTTTACCCTTTTCTGTACTTTTGTTTTTTTCTTTTACTCATGTATTGCACTTTGTGCCGCATGGCTTTGTCACATGGTTTGCTGCCTCCTTTATATAGTTTACTGTCTCCTCTATATGATATAACTATCGTCATATTATACCAACTAGTCCAAGCTGCCGCACTTCTAATTTCCTTAGGCAGGCTTGATTTCGGGAAAGTATTCGCGTTAATATGACTGATAAAGTGTTTTAAAAGGGCGAAAGAACCAGCAGTCGTGGCACAATGCGGATAGCGTAACGAGTGGGTCGTGCTGTGCTCCAACTAATTACAAAAACTTGTTTTTGTTCAGAAACTGTGGCACATACCCAGTTCAGGCGTCCTTCTCTATCGTCTTCAGTCACTGAATGAAAAAGTGGCACAAAATTTCCCGCAATGGTTTAGCGGATACAATGTTTCTCAGAATAATGATGAGAAATAGCATAGCGTAGGCCGGCTTACTACCCTAAAATCTTTATTAATATTGCCGTAGTGGGTATTAAGCAAATGTACTTGCAACAGTTACCCAATGAGTGTTTAGAAAAGGCTCTGAAAGGCCGCTCTTCTAGCTTTCGCTGTGGCTGTGCCACTGTGCTGCACCTTCCACGAAAGCCTGGCGTTTCTTGTTTACCTCAAGTTAAGCGGGTGAGGTCAAGAGCACCCATGAACAGGCGGCTAGAGAGATAGATAAGCAATTATACAAGCTAAAGGCGGCTGCAGTGCGCAAAATTAAAAATGGTGAGTCTTCGGCGAAACTGTGAATTGAACTCCGTACTTCCTGCATTGGAAGCGAAGACTGCAACCAGTGGGCTACCATGCACTGTGGTTTAGGCTGTTGTAGCCGAGGCACCATATTCATGAAACCTGACAAAGGGGCAAGCGACAGGTATTGAAGATGAATGGGGGGGGGGGGGGCGTGACATGGGCTTTGAGAACGGGGGTCCGTCGCCCAACCTCCCTTCCCCACCATCAAGATCTGCCACACTTCAGACAATGAGCAACACAGGGGCAACGAAATTAATTTTATTGCATCATATTGTGCCTAGCAGTAGAGGGACTTTAAACCTCGCCACTTTTTCGTAGAAGAAAGGGAAATGCCAATTGTTGCTTTAGCCTGGCTCTGCTGGCTGAATCCAAATGGCTTCGCCTACTTTTTCTTCAGGTCCTTGGATCTCTTGCCAGTCCTAGTGTGCGTCCCGCGCGCAGACGACGACCGGCTGCTCGGGGCCTTCCGTGACTTCCCATGCCGCCCTCCGTGCCTCGAGGACGAGTGACTATGGGCGTGGAGTCGCTTCTTGCCGCGCTTCCAGCGCAGGCTCGTGGTCGAAGTAGATGTAATGGACGGGACATGGCGGCGGCTTCTCGTGCGCCTCTTCCTTGGTTGGCTTGCTTCAGACGATGCAGAAGTGCTTCTACGGCCTCGTGCTTTACGAGCACGTCCGCCATGTCGACTGCGGGATGAATACCTCGACCGACCGCGGGACACTTTCTTGGATCGGTGACGCTTTGAAGCCTCGCTTGCAGTGTCGTTCGTGCTTCTCGTAGAGAAGCTTCGGGAGCGCTTCCTACGGGCGACTCTCGGGGTTTTGGCTGCCACGTCCTTCCTTGCAGAAGCGTTTTCTCCCTCGAGCTGCATTACTACAACGGCCTTGCGCAACTTCGGAGCCGGCGTGGCCACAGTGGGCGTCGGTGCGAGCGGCCCCTCCGAGGAGGCCTTTGGCGGTCGGCCCCGTGGACGCTTGGTAGCTGGAGCCTCGTTGGAAGGAGCAGCTGCGTTCTCGTCAGCGGCGGCCTGACGCTTCCCTCGCCCTGTCTTGGGCGCACCATGGTTGGCCTCCGCCTGTTTCTTCACCATGGCTTCGTCGCTCCGGGAGTCGTTCTCGCCTCAGTAGTCGATGTGAAGAGCCCGCCGTGCTCCTCGGCTTTGGAGCTCGCCGGCAAGCGGGCCCCAGGAGACGACAGTGTAGGTGTAAGAGCGGCGAGAGCGCGGAGCGTGCAGCCAGCTGGTCTGAGCCCCTGCCACTGATGATGATGATAATGATGATGACCACTCATGAATGGCGCTCACCCACAGAAGGGGATGGGCCAAGAACAGGGCGGCAGGATACTTAAATGAAACTAAAATGAAAATGAAGCCAATCTGAACAAGGAGTTCAAAAATAATACAACCAAAAAAAAACAACAAAAATGTTTGCTGAGCAAGCGGGCAAACCATCTCTTGTTTATGATAGACATAAGTACGAATTATAAACTAAATATCTGAAAAGGTTGGGCTACACTAGCATGGTAGTCTTTTAGTTGCATTGATGTAATCAAACACAGTGGAGCATACATCTCTGTGGCAGTAACCAAATGAAGTTCCGCCAAGTGATAAAATTACTGGTAGATTTACTTGTATTCCTAGCTTTTCTAATGGGGCTACTAAAAATCTTTTTCTCTGATAAGAATAACGATGGCAGAATAAAAAGAAATGTTCAATTGTTTCAATTTCGTTGCACCAAATGCATAGTAGTGACGCCTTGAGTCGTGCTTTGTGAAGGTAATAATTTAGTTGTGGAACTGCACAGCGCAATCTGGTATAAGTGACCTCTAACTGGCGAGATACACACCACTGTTTATTCCAGCAATAGCTCAAATGCTCGAAATCTTTGAATTTATCCAAATTACCTTTTCCCCACTGCAGGCAAGCATTTCGGAACCTTAGCGCTGTCACGTAAGCCGTATCTGGCAAAACTGGGAGGGGGGGCCCACCCAGGGATAATGCTGCTAAAGCGTCCGCCATTTCGTTTAAATATAATCCGCGGTGGCCCGGTACCCATAGCAAATGCAGTTTTTTTACGTTTTTCGGTACTAAATGCCGAAACGTATTCATCAGCTCTACATTTACTGCCGCAGAAAGTGCATTACAAACTGACAACGAATCTGTAATGATAACTGCTAATGATTCGCTTGAGAGCAATTTGCGTAGGGCAAGAACAAGGGCCAATAATTCTGCAATGAATACCGGGTGTGATGGTTAAGGGACGTTCGTCACTATATTTGTTGATAGCGGACGAGAAAGGATTAACATGAACTTTTTATTTCATGGCATGGGTGGAACGGCTGACCGTGGAGACGCCTCGCCGAGATCCACGATGCCCTCGGCAAGGAAGAGAACAGCAGGCCAGGCCGCGCCTCGAGATGCAGTACTCGTGCTGTCAACGCCGCCCCAGCTGGTAGTTGGACGACAGTAGCGTGGACAGCCGCGTTCCCCTGCCGGAACCTAGATCGCCTGCGTCCGATGCTTCGGCCCGCTGTCTCCCGTCTGCCGCTGCTCCGGCTCATCCCTAGCCACACAGCCTACTGCCACGTAATGGTCGCACGTTGCTCAATCGTGGCACGCCACCTCTATGGGCCACCACAGGTCATCAGCTGATTCGCTGACACTCACGCGAACATTACACGCGCCTTGCCCCGCACTTCCGTCGTTGTCGTTTTCTTCACTCATCACACCGGGGTATAGTCTGGGAGTCGAATCGAAAATGACCAGTTCAAAGAAGGAGAAAGGATGCCAACCCCAGCCTCTTCTTTTGACACAGATGCATCAGTCGCAATGATATTGCTTATCTCTAGGTGAGCTAGATAATCTGCTAACTGGTCATTTAAATACCTATGTGCCAATTGTTTCGCGTTATGAGGAAATATATAATCAAATTGTATGATTGAGGCCGCGTTCGGTTCTCGTGCACCACGTGCATGTATTTCCTCCTTGTCTTCTGCGGGAAATTTTTATATTATGTGCCCACTTCCACTGAAAAGGACGCGGGATTCACTTTTTATACAATTGAAAATAACAATTTTGCGTTCCGTTTATTCCGCAGCGCCCTATGCAATGGTAATAAAAACATCACGAAATTCACTTATCAAAATCAGTATTATATATTTTTCAACTCTATTTAGTGCTTTTCACGACTTGAATTTGGAAATGATTGTTTCAGGGCTTTTGGTATTGCTAACCACTAAGGGTACCTATAACGTAATAACATTAACAGCTACTCCACCGCGGTGGACTTGGGAGAAAGAAAAAGAAAAAAGAGTGGCAGAAATACGCACGGAGAAAAAAAGATATAAAACAAATAATCAAATAGAAAGAGTAAGAGACGAATAGAATGAGTGGAAGAAAGAAAGGAAAGAACGTGAAAAGTGAGGTAGAAAGGAAGAGAAATAGAGGAAGAAATGACCACTGCAATGAACAAAAGGTGTATTTGCCCCCCTCAAGCCTGTCGAGAACTTGCCCGCGTACCGTGCCCCCCCCCCCCGCCACCAGTAACACCAGCACGCTCCACCACCCACAGAGAGATGTAGTTATAGTTTGCATCCCCCAAGACGAAATCATGCCGACGTCCATTATGGCAACAAATGCAATAGTAACCGATTGCAGTGTTACACCAAAGTTATTGATCGATATGTAGGGTTTTACGTACCAAAACCACCATATGATTCTGTGAGATGCGGTATATAGTGGAGGGCTCCGGAAATTTCGACCACCTGGGGTTCTTTGTTTTGCACCCAAACCTGAGCACAAGGGCCTACAACATTTCCACCTCCATCGTAAATCTAGCCGCCGCAGCCGGGATTTGATCCCGCGAGCTGCTGGTCAGCAGCCTAGTACCTTACTCACTGGACCATCACGGCGGGGCAGGGTTATAACAAAGTCCTTCAATGCTTCAATAAGTCAGTGAGTCAAGGAACTTTATTTGGTCCTCAGAAAACGAGAATTCCCCCGTCAGGGGGTACCGTCTGGGAGCCCCGCCCACGATGGAACTGGTAGGCTAAAGCTCTCGGCGACTTCGTGGGTTCTCTGGACAGCCCTTAGCTACAGGTCCTTTGCGGAGCTGGTGATAAGCTGGAGCCGGTCTTCCTCAATAGAAGGAGACCCTCAGCCCCCGTGCAAGTCGTGACACTGCCACAGGATGTGCGGGGGGGGGGTGCAACTCGGATGACCACAGAGTGGACAGCGTGGGTCTATTTCGTCTACGAATTTTGACCAAATAAACGGACATGGATACGTGTTTGTTTGTAACATTCGCAGGGTGATTGCCTGTGGTCTGTTTAGGTGTGAGTGCGGAAGCGGAAACTTCCTACGCCCTTGCTGATAGTGCTTACAGACCTCGTTGAAGTTGAGAAGAAGGTCCCTTTGCCACTGCCCTCCCTCAGCCTCCTAGTGCCCACTTCAGGCGCGGTGTGTGAGACCTCGCGCCTGGGAGTGTGCAAGTTCGTTGGCGTTTGGGATGGTTTCATGAGTATCACTGTCCACATGACCAGGGAACCAAATTATATGCATTTTGCCTGTCCAAGATGCAGCAGAGAGAACGCGCGCGGCTTCTTTGCACACCGAGTCTTTCATAAATGCTCTTGTGGCGGCTCGCGAGTTCGTGTAAACAGTAGAACGGTTCGTTGTGGCCATGGCGATGGCCACTGCCACCTGTTCGGCTTTGTCAGCATCCGATTTTTTGGGCGTAAGTGATGTCAGCAGCTCCACCAGTGACGACATAGCTGCTGAAACAAAGTGATTGGAAGCTGCGTTTTGCGCTGCGTCAACGAAGGCGACATTGTCCTCAGTCGTAGCCGCTGTTCGAAGGGCTCTGGCACTTGCTTTGCGTTTGCCGCAGTTGTATTGTGGGTGCATGTTGCTAGGTACCGAGATACAGTATACATTTCCCTGACTTTGATAGGGAGCGCGCACTCCCTCTGTCTGGCAATGGGAGACCGTATACCAATATGCGCTAGTAACTGTCTGCCAGCCTCCATGGAAGCCAGTCTTGCAACTTGCGCGACCTGTTATGCCTCTACTATTTCGCTGAAGGTGTTGTGGACACCCAGAGCCAATAGATGTTCTGTAATGGTGCTCTGTGGGAGACCCAATGCCTTTTTTATGTTCTTGCGAATGATTGATTCTAAGGGGGCTTCATCCCTCCTGCTCCACTTGTGGGCCAGGGTGATGTAGTTGATGTAGCTCATTAGGAAGGCGTGAAAGAGTCTACGAAGGACTCTGCTTATACCAAGTGGAAAGCTCACCATTTAGGAAACGCGCATGGCCGCTGCAACGAGTAAAGTGCCGTTTGTACTATGTGTTGCTTCGACACAACTTTGCGATGAGTGTGCAACGCTTTAAAAGGTAACCGAGCCGCCTCTTGTTATCCTTGGAAGATACATGTGTGCGACTGCGGATGACCACACACGGTCGGAGAAAGTACGTATTCCCTGCCCAACGCACGCTGCCCCCCTTACCTCTTCTCCCTAAAACGGCCCTCCACGCAGCGTTTACACTGCTATTGCACATGTGCGTCCTCTCCTAGGCCAACCGTCTCTAGCCTCGCACTAATGATGCTGACAGCACCTGCTATTTATTGAAAACGCCGACTACTCGCGCAGCACAGCTTTTTCTTGGCTGTTCACTGGTCACCCCGTATATATAGGCACTGAATTTTGACCTCCGTGGTCGTACCGGTGGGAGATTTCTCCTGCACATTATTGAACAATTAAACATCGCAGCGGGTGTGTTGGCTAAAATCGGACTGCGGTTTTTTGAGTCAAATTGGCGTCGTCTGTCTATCATTGCCCATTAGCCGTGATCGGCATGTTTCAGTTGAAAATACCGGTCCATCACTGCATGCTTTGCACCTCCTTATGTTTCTCTCCTGCGCAACGCCGCATTGATCACCAGTGTCAAGCCGCCGCCAGTGTAAGCGTGGCGCCAGCTGCTTCTCAACTACACATGATACCCCTAAGCGGGAGATAGTGTACTTTTTTGGCATCATTGTTTGTGAGTTCTCATTATTGTTGAGTGTAACAATGAAAACGAGTCCTGTAATT